TCTCTACCACTATGGGATTTGAATCGACAACTGCATCTCTGTGCTAATGTGGTATGGCAACTCGAACTGATGTACGTACGTACGAAGTTCTACATTGTTGCTGACTGACTGACTAGTTTGTAAATATTTATTATATGGTATATATTCATGAAGGTGGATTATTTGTACAGCAAATAAGATTTGCTTAAATAAACCGATGAATAAGTTTACGAATTAAAAATAATTTTTTAACCAAACTACTACGTAATAATCCAGAATTAATTTGTCCCATGGTTGTCGGTTGCATCGGAGATTTTCCTTCAGCTTGCATTCACTCATATACCAACAGTAAATTATAAATATTGGTTAATAATTCCAATCGTAACTGTTTCAGGTCTTTAGATAATTAAAATAACCCATAGTGTAATTGAATAAGAAAAAGAAGAATTTAGCGAAGAAAATTTTCTTTTCGACGAAATCATTTACTTAAGCTGTACATTCGTATATATAGTTATATGGAAAATGTATGTCTATATAATGGATTGTATCAAAAAAATGGATTCGACAATAAATAACAAATGAGGTTAACGTACTAATCAAGGGGTAAGGAAGAACAAAATTTAAGGGTCAGATAATAGTCCAATTGACAGATATGAAGAAAAACGACAAAACAACAAAGGTCATAATAATAGACTGAATAATAATCAAGAAAGCCTGTAAAAGGTAATAATAATAAATGATTAGAGTTTAAAGTGCAAAATAGTAATTTAAAAATATAGATAATAATAAGTGCAGGAAACAAAACAAAAACACCTAGAAACATACCCATTAAGGGAATTAGGGCCAGGGAAGGATGAGAGGTTGGACAAATCGTTTCTGCACGCAAAGTTCAGGCTTTAGTTTGTGGATTGCCAATGCCTCTGCGGTGCATAAAATATTGATTCGAACCCCCTTCGACCCAGTTCCTTTGACTATGTAAACTATTTTAAACGAAGTCTTTTGGAGCGATATGTCCACAGTTGATTAAGTGCTCCTGTATAGAACTCGTGATTGTTTTTCGCTCTCCTTTCAAGAGCCAAGCCGGATAATGTTCCGAGATGCGTTTGGATAATGATCGCTTTGTGCGGCCTATATAACATGCCCCACATGAGCAAGTAAATTTATAGATACACATTGAAGTGGCCCAAAGCGAAAGTTTGTCCTTAACACATCCCAGAATGGTAGGTCGGCTAGAGAAGATGATTCGAAGCTTAGCTACGTGGAATGTTTTATCCAATGATTTAGAAATCCGTTTATTTAGGATTTCAGCAGCCGTATCTCCCTTAAATTCCATATTCATAAATAGTTTTTTTCTCTACTGTCAATGCTTTGTCATGAGGTCTAGGTACCAGTCATACAGTTATTTTACTACATACACTGAATTTGTTTAAAAAGGACGCTAAATGACAATTAGATAATCTATAAATAGTTACAGTAAAAAGCTTACCAGTAGAGATTTGTAAAATATGTTTCTACAATTGCTATGATTGATTCGTTAATAGTTCAAACAACATTGTGACACAATAACTTTACTTAAAATTGTTTTCTTTGTTTTTGTTTTAAATGAAGGACAAGTAAGTGAACCTATTCAGAGATTTCAGTAAATCTTATTTCTTAAATAGTCAATTATTCTTTTAATAGTTTATATAGATACAATGTTATAAGGTTAAAAAGAAACTTAGAAATAACCTTGTGAAATAAGTAAAAGAAAATTTGATCACATGTAAATCACATGAGAATGATGCAGGAAAACAAAAGAGGAGATGAATGATGATAACAGTGAGTGTAAATAGTTATTCCTATAAAAATGTGTTCATGTCATAAAACATTTTACTTCTATGATAAAAAGAGAAAAACAACAACATTCCAATGATTAAAACAAAAAGGAGATAAATTATTCTTTTTTTTGAAACCAGGTGTTTATATTTTCCCTATTTCAATACTTTATTTAACATAAACACATTCAATGTTGGTATGATAGTGTGATACGCAAAAACTAACCTGAATAGAAGGATTTTGACAACCACCTTTACTGAATGTTCCCTGATTCTTTTTATAATTAGAAGTAGGTTAAATCACAAATTGATATGAGTTAGGAAAGCATTGGATATTTACTTCATTCATCTTCTAAAAATCGATAGGAAACCTGATATATCTCAATGAAGAATAACTGTTAGGAATTATAAATGGACTACCATTACATATATTCCTACTGGATAATTATTAAGTAACTATATATATATATACTCTTATTCCTTTCGTTTGTCCTATTGGCTATTGCGATACGATTTACCAATCTTCACTTACTCCCGATTTATTAATTACAGTCTCTCACACTCACAGACACTTTGGGCGTAATCGTGTATAATTGTTATTTCCTATTTTGTGGTGTGATACGGTCTGGTTCGCTTATACATAAACTGTGTATGTCTGAAATACATGATTCATATAGTGGTAGCTGAGATTTTGTTCTGAACTCAACAAACAGGGCTAGGTGAGAAGAACCAAGAAGGACTCAGAGTTGACTCTAGGCTGCTCGTATTGGTTTGACACAAGGCCAAAGTCGTATAAGTCGGTGTTCTGATCGGTGATCTTATCATGCGATAATTGACGGGCTATATGATATAATAATACTGATTCTCCTCTAAAGGGAACAAACTATTGATCAAGAACTTTCCCCCTACCAATACACACAGTAACTAACACTAAACCTTCAATCCGGCATAGAAACACTTGGATTATTCGACAAGACGTTCAATGAATTATTTAACACACAAATAAGCACAAAACAATGGATTTTTGTGTAATGATTTTATTCATGAAAACAAAACGTTAAAATAAATAATACTGACCTGATAAAGTTCAATAACACATGAAAGTGACGCGAGAGATAGAGAAAACAAAAAATAGTGTTCAAAATAGTAAGTAAGAAAGGAAGCAAAAAAGCGAAACAATGCAAAGAGCTATATGAACATACAACCGCCTTCAAGCATATCAATATAAGTATATGCAGAATGAATCTACACGGATAATATTAATATAATAACAGAAAGTATGCAAATGTGTAAATGTAATGAAATCATGGAGTTTGACATGCTCAACTAGTTATTAAAAATGCTTTTTTTCATCATAAATATTTATATTCTCTGTTCGATAGGATGAATATTCTCTGAAGTTTTTTCTGTATTTAATCCAACTACTGTAAACACATCAGATGAGTCTGCCTAGAAAAACAAAATGGAGATGAAATAGGGGAGTGAGATCGAAAAGCATAGATCAAAAAAACAACAAATGAATCGATTGAATTATTAACCAGATACTTCGGTTTCTCAAACTGAAATAGGTGGAGTGATGTTCGAATCAGACGCCTTAACCGCTATGCACAGAACAAGTGTAAAATGATCAAAAATTAATGAAGCGTTTGCGAATTGCTCTAAGCTAATTTTTATTATTGAGATGTTTCATGGGAATTATACGCTAATTCGCTGCTCTTACAAAATCTTGGTAATTAGATGAAGTTTTTTTTACTTTGATAGAAATTTAAGTTTATTCAAAAAGAATGTGGGGATTAATGAGTTAAACAGTAAAGAATTTATCAATTAATGGACTATGATACGTTAATAGATGTTGAGGGTGAAAATAGTAACGAATTTGCAAGTGGTAACACAGGTTTATTTGTGAGATAATTATAATAATAGTAACAGTCAGCAATCATATTATTATTTGGTGCTATGAAACTAAAAAGACCCCTTACAGTTTCGGAATTATTTCGATTCAAGTAGAATGGTAGCTTCATGGTTTTGTTCGAAATTTTAGCCACTAAGTGACAGGTTTGAACCCCGTTCCCCTATTTCGGTTTCGGAAATCGAATAGTCTATATCAATAACCTTCATATTTAGAGTCTGGTTTACAGAAAGCACATGGATTTATATATGGTAATAAGTTGATAGTAGTGATAATATGATACCAGGCAGTTCTATAGTACAATGTTAGCCAGTAGTTAGGACTGATAATCGAGTCGTACCATTTACCTTTATTAAGTGGAAAGATTGATACACAGTAAAATTGAGTTTCAAAATGGTCTAAGACATACAGGTTTTGTGTACGACAAGTTGGGGTAATAAACAACTCTATAATGAACTTATAACACTATGAAGTAAAACGGAACCTCGCCATTTAAAAAGTAATCATTTCATTAAATTGGCTTGTAAGGATCCAGTTAGTGAATCCTTTTGATAGATTTCATGAAACATTTTTGAGAAGCTTATTTTAATACTGAACGTCTTAATATCCCTTCATCGTTATTGTCATTCACCTCCATTGTAATGAATCTTGAAAGCGGGATGGTAAAATTAGTCGTAGTGTTTTATCAATAAAGCTTGTTAGCAATTAATGTGACTCACTAAAAAACTTATATCTGTGCAGTGGATTTGAGCCACACCTAATGTAGTCAGATCGAAGCACGTTGAAAGAAGTTTTGACTTGTAATCAAATGGTTGAATATAGGGCCTCTAACTCTCGAACCAAAATCCAGAATTAATCTGTGGTAACCTATTTTCAGTATATACTCAGTATACACCAAGATCTTAGTTCTTGTTAAACACTATTTATTTATATTATAGACACATATATATTCATCGACGAGGTGATGACCTTACACACTAACATCACTAACTAACTGGTCCAATCGTTGAATGGATATCATGTTTCATTTCCACATTTGGATGGCCATCAAGTAGGTAGTTTTCTTCTTTTGTATTCATCCGTTTTCATTAAATGCTTTAATATTTTGTCCCCCTGCATCCTTCAGCATAGAATTTGTAAAACTCCAAGCAGTGAATAAAATTAATGAAATTTAAGGAGTAAAATGTTAAAGCAAGTGATATGTTATTTCTAAAACAATAAATTAGAAGTGAAGAGGACACAAATACTTTATTTTACTACACTGACATTAAGCTAGACAAATAAGTATCCAGTGATCGTTGTGACGGAAAAGTCAACCTTTAACGAATCATGTAACAGTGTTTGCTGAATAATATTGAAACATTAAAAAGAATGTACGAATAATTGTAATACTCAAAAGTAAACTGTAGGTAAGTATAAGAAATTGTTTGGGTCAATCTCAATGGTGGCAGTATTCAACATGAAAATTTTGAAATAATCCAAATCTGGAGTTTTGAAACTAACCATGATAGTGTCACAGAAACCACTACTTCCTTAAAGTCTCAATCGCCGCTTTTGTTTAAAATTTTGTCTTTTTTAATAATAGGTTGTTATCTCAAGTGATCATGTAACCTCTCCAGGGACAATTATTCATAAACCAAATGAAGGAATGCCTAATTTCGAAAATAATAAGCGTCGTGGTTCTCTTTACATTACAATCGATGTTCAGTTTCCTGAAAACTTTAAAATCCCCGAAGATAAACGTAAAATGATTGCAGAACTTTTTCATTCATCCAGTACTAGCACCACCAATACTCTTTCATCATCTCAGCCTGATCAACCAACACCAGCCCAAATTTACAATGGTCTAGATGGAGGTAGCAAAAAGATAAATGTAAAAAATTAACTGTATCAATTTGGTTCTATGTAAACTACCCTGTTTGTGTTTTCCTGTATTTAGGAATCGTTGATTTATCCAACCTACTTTGTACAGCTGTCTTCTACCCATTTATTTGTATTTTTATGATATTTGCTGTTGTTTTTGACCAATTCTTAGACCTGTTTTTGATTTTATTAAAATATTTTCAACTTTGCGGATGCAAGTACAGCTGAATTCTGTTTTTTTGGTAATAAACATTGAGCAAATTGAATTGATAGTTGATTTTTTGCTTGATAAATGCCAAGACGATTTATTGCAACGAGTTAATAGGTAAACAATTTAACTCATCATTTTTGTCTATGTAATTCAAAATGACAATAAAAAAAATGCTCTTTTGTATACACTCTGATCTTATGTATGTATATTTGATTAACATACAGTTTTCATTCCTCTTATCATATTGTAGCAAAGTGGTTAGTAATCATTTTAAAACCACCCCACAAACGCCTAGTTTCTATTGTTTTAAAAGCTAAATTATTACATATATTTTTCATCAGTAACTGGATGTAGTTTTTTATCTGGGATATAAATGGAGATCAATATGATATTAGACATTTTTCGACATTTATACTTAATGCCAGTTGAATACATGGTATCACTAAATCTGTTTCTGTTGTTATATTCACTGGAATAACGCACCCGAGGTCAATTAAAGTCGAAAGACCGTATTGGTTTCCCAGAATATATGTGAGTATATATAAACATTAAGTGACTATAAGAATTAATAATTATCTTTGATTAAAAAAAATTCCCAGTCAATGCGATAAACTTGGCAACAGTCGGCTGATAGGTACTAAGACGCGATTCCAATAAACCGGGGTGGATTAAGTGTGTATCAACCAATAAGATAACGGTTAGTTCACGATTAGACAATGAAATGCGAAAAAATAAACTATTGAATACAACACTTGTTAATCACAAAAAGTACAGTTAAAACAAAACGAATCTCAAACTTATGCTACGCAATATTTAAGTCGTCCTGTGATCATGTATCTATCCATATGGGAGACCTGTTACGTTTCATAACATTTTGTAGCCAATATTTTATAAATTATTTGGGTACTTTGTTTTCGGTTAATATTTATGGTACATTTATTTATTGAGTTATGTCCACTTTTATTGCTTCCATACCCTATGGTAGTTGTGTTAATCATGGCAGGTTCAACAATAGACTGTCGAACTTACATCTCGCAGTTCTGTCTCTTACTTTGTGGTTTTTCTGAATGTCATGTAGCTGGTCATTTTTTTTATTTAGTTGGACACACACCGGTATAAGGGGTCACCAAATACATATGTGTTACACATTAATAATGAGGTTATTAAGAGATAAAGTAGTAAGTACAATAAAAAGAACAGCAGCAATCAACAAAACTTAGTGTAGGAGAGTGAATTATTAATAGTGGGAGAAGCAGTTTGAAATATAACTAATGCATCTGATGAAATATGAGCAATACGACACACAGGTAGATGCCTAGCTGATATAGATTTTTAAATGCGAGGCAGATACTTAGTTCATAAAGAAGTCTTAATTCTTGTCAGTTAGACACTACAAATACAACACAGAGAACACCAACCCAATCACATTTGATGAAGAAACTGTAACAGGTGGAAACTCCCACGTATTCGGTCAGCATGATCGATGAACGAGGAGGATCTGGTGCACACGTAAAGGCGAGGATTGGCAAAACAAGGACAGCATCTCTACAGTTGAAGAACAAATGAAACTCAAAATAACTGTCAACCAATACGAAAGACAGGTTCTTCAATACGAACATCAGGACAGTTGGTTCCATTGTACGGAGCTGACATTTCGAAAACTACTACAACCATCAGCAAGAAATTATAGGTATTTATAAACAATTGTCTACGTGAGATACTCAATATCCATCGATCGGATACTATCAGCAACAGCCTACTGTGGGAGAGAACAAGCCAACTCCCAACTGAGGATGAAATTAGGAAAAAATGTTGGAAGTGGATAGGACATAGATTGAGGAAATCACCAAACTGCATCACGAGTGAAGCGCTAAATTTGGATTCTGAATGGAAACGGGAATGTGGAAGACCAAAGAACACACTGCAGCGAGAATTGGGAGGAGACATGGAAAGAATGGGTAGCAACTGGAGGCAAGTGGGAAGGATTGCTCAGAATGAGGTTGGTTGGAGAATGCTGGTGAGCGGCATATGCTCCTCCACGAGGTGTAACAGATGTAAGCAAGTAAGCTTGAGACACCAGTCTCAGAAAATACCTCACTAGTTAATCAACACTTAATTCCTTTCACTGATGGGCTTCGTAGTTTGCTAGTGTTGTATACGTTCAACATCATCTATCTATGGAAAAACAGATAGTTGCATCGATATTTCGTAACTTTTAATAGCTCCAGCACGCTTAGTTTTCATTCTATCACTTAGTTTATTCGTGGGTCTATTTTTAGAAAAAAAAACTCAATGGCTTTGTTCCAAAAAATAAATCACAAACATCAAGAATATTACTACAAACAATCCGAAGTTAAGGAAAACTCTCCATAAACTTATTTATAAAATGCTGAGACATTTAGGTGGAATAAACACCAACAAATCACACCCTTCCCTGAACAATTAAATGTCAAGTTGTTTCAGTAGAAAGGTAGCTGACATTCCATTGACCTCAGTAACAGAATGCGAATTACTTCATCACCACCAGGATGTTGGTACATCTAGCTTTCGAGTTCCAAATAGTACGAAAAGTTTGTCCTGCATTTCACTACTGGCCGTTATCCAACTTTAATAATATAAACATTTTCTTAAAAAATTTTTATTAATTTCTTATATGATTCTAAAGTTAAGTCAACTTTTACAACATATTTCGAGTGTATATCGTGATAATATCAATTGATGTAAATAAAATAGTGAATAAGTATACATATTTGAAGTTCGTTTTAAAAATATGTATATATAATAAAAGTATGGTTGATTTTATGAATTGGTGATTATGTATTAGGTATCCCGAACTTAGATTTCTCATTTTATCACTCCGTTTAATCATCCAATTGACATAATAAAGCGACACCTCTCATAATCCAATGACTTTCCGGTTTATCTGATGTCAACAGAATTGGTAATACAAAATTTGTAGAATGTCCAGTTGTTGATAATACACCACGACGTTCACTTGTTTTGTAAACTGGTGCTGTATAACTAGGCCTTGATTTAATATCACTCCTTTTTATTGGTATCAACCAAATCTGTGAAAAATATTTAAAAAACAAAACAATTTCAGTGTGAGACTAATACTTCAGTGGGGTTGCGTTTAACTAATATTCATTGTGATTTATTAATTTTCTCACACCAAAATAATTTACTACCACATACAGTCAATATGGCAATTTTGAGGGGTGGATTATTAAGAATATTTTTAGCACCTAGTATTCTTTTTCTTTTAAGTTTACGTACAAGACATTTTTCAGTGAATTTAAACTATATGAAAGTTCTGGATTTTATTTTTTACCAAGATGGATGTACTAATAACAATTAGTATATCCAATCGCCGTTGGCAGTTATTCGTGTTATTGTTTGGGCGGTCATAGGTCTTATTAGTTTTCAGAGAACTTCCTATTAGTTAGCTCTATAATCTGATCATTCATTGATGTTGGGATATTCAATGGATGTGAAAGAGGTTGAACTAATAATAATGCGTGATGACATTCATCATTATCCAATTTTAAATAAAAGTGTGACGTTCTACATGTTTTTTAATATCTTTTTGTTGTTGTTCAGTTAGTGAATTAATGATGCATTTAAAAGTTTAATTTTTACTGAGGACTTCGTTTTTGATCATCTAAAGGTATATTCAGTGAATATGCTAATGTAAAATATCACAACTTTCTGGATGAAAAAAAAAGCTTAAAAGTGAACGTTAAAGCTTGAGATGAAACCCTCAGTGAAAAGTATGCCCTTCTAAGCATTATTCATCCACTAAATGAACGAAAAAAGCTAGATATTGAATATATATGGTGAACATTGAGGACCGGATGAGTTACAAACTCATGGACACAACCTATTTGTATTAACGTTTAAATGAATAATTCTATTTTTGTCTCAATCATTTCCTATGTAAATAAACATATAATTTTATTGTGTACAACACTTACAGGTGGCATAGGATCTTGTAAAACTTTTGGTAAAGCTTCTGCTAATTTTTTTGTACTCCTATCCCATCTTGCACCATCCACAAACAGACCGGATACATAAGCTCCTATTAGATGGAAAGAAAATAGTTAATGATTTTAAAAAGAATTATTAATAAAAATACAAATAAAATGAATTAGTGATAAGTACAAATAATTATGTAGATTAGATGGAATGTGGCTAGCAGTGAAATCCAGGACAAGCATTTCGTCGTATTCAGGACTCACCAGAAGATTGACAAGATACTGGATTGTTTTCATGAATGCCTTATTGGAAATTATTTAAATGAAGCAAAATATTGCTGAAAACATATTATAATTATTTAAATGGGATACCATTCAGATGATCTTGTTCTCTGGTAAAAGGCAGAGTGTACTGTTATTTCATCGAAAATATTTTTGAGGTAAAAAACCCCATAAGGAATGAATATTTTCCATCAGATCTTAATTGACATGAAGGTAAATGACATTGAAATTTCATTGGATTATTGACACATTAATTGCAATAACAATACTAGGTTGGTTATGATGACCATAGGGATTTAGATGAGTTAGGTTACTTACTTCACCCTGTTGCACCTCGTGGAGGAGCATAGGCCGCTCACCAGTATCTTGAATGTGGGCTTTATTGAACTTTTGTAATGCTGTTTCCCCAGTTGTTCAGTGCTTCTTTAGCTTCAGTTTCATGTTGGCTACAACCAAGTTGTTGTGAATTTATCAGCCGCTTGTTATCAAGTAATCTACTCGCCAATTAAAATAACACTTATTCGCTCTTATACTGTACTAAACCAATGACGTTCGACCGGTTTCATCAGCCCAGCATCCAATTGGTCCGCTGCTCGCCTAGCCCGTCCGGCTGAGTCCAGAATGCCAATAACAGCCTCCACTATGTGAAGCATTTATTTCAGACATACTGGGTTTATATACCAAACAAACAGACCGCAACGCACCATAAAATAGGGAATAACATTTGTACACAATAAAGCCAAAAAGTGGCTGTGAACGTGGGAGGCAGTAGTCAATAAACCGAACATAGCTTAAGAACAGTAAATCGTACAATAATAATATGTAGGTCAAAATAAAGCTTATAACAAGGGGAATATAGATATACATAATTTAGTTACTGAATATTTATACCATAAGAATATATAAATAATATTAGTCCATTAATAGGTCTCAGACGTTACTCGTAATGTAATCTTCACTAGGATATAACACAAGTGGTGATCTGAAGCTGTGTCAACTCCTCTCTTGGTTCTCACGTCTTCCATCGGCATTGTAAATGTTTTAGTGATGCAAATGTTAACGATCTGGTTCTGTGAAGTGTAATCCGATGAGACCCATGTAATTTGTGTGGGAATATTCTGCCACTTATAACCATTTTGCTGAATGCACATAAATTTGCAAATGTCACCATTCTCGTTTCTTTCTCCCAC